GAAGCTCACAACAACAAATTACTCCATTTGGAAGCCAAAATGGAGGACATACTTTTCTACAAAGATCTGTACGATCCTGTAGAAATGGGAGACAACAAGACAAATGACGTGAAGGATGACGATTGGAAAAAATTACACAGAAAGGCTGTCAGTTTAATCCGACAGTGGGTGGATATCAGCATATTCCACCATGTTGCCACAGAGTCAAAAAGCTCATACTCTGTGGAACAAAATTGAACAGATGTACACAGAATAAAGCTTTCATCATTAGAAAGCTTGTAAATTTAAAATACCGGGATGGAAGATCAGTTGTTGAACACTTGAATGAGTTTCAAGACATGGTAAACCAACTTGTTACCATGGAAATGAAACTTGACGAAGAGCTGCAGGCGCTGTTACTTTTGAGTTCTTTACCGAATAGCTGGGAGACTCTGGTGGTCTCGTTGAGCAACTTTGCTCCTGAGGGAAGACTGACTTTGACCCAAGTCAAAGACAGTATGTTTAATGAAGAAACAAGAAGAAAAGACTCTGGGGCAAGCAGCTCCAAAGCCCTGGTCACAAAAACCAGGGGGAGAAGTAAAAGCAGAGGCCGGAATAGCAAAGCCAGAGATAAATCACAATCTCAACCCAGGAGAAAGTTCAAGTGTTATCACTGCGGTGAAGAAGGGCATATCAAAAGAAACTGCAAAGCCTAGAAGAATAGAGGTTGGAGAAATAACAAGACAGAGAACGATGAAAATACCACAACCCCTGTGATCAATGAGGAAGTGGTGTTGCTCTCTGTTGAAGAAGAAGAGTGTCATGTTGCTGACTCATGTGTTGAATGGGTCATTGACTCAGCAGCATCATACCATGCAACCTCTCACCAGAAATTCTTTTCTCTATACAAAGAAGGAGACTTTGGTAGAGTAAAGATGAGCAACAACAGCGTTGCAAATATTGTGGGAGTTGGTGATGTGTGCATTCAAACTGATATTGGGTGCACAATAACACTGAAGGATGTGCGACATGTACCTGACTTACGTCTGAATCTGATCTCTGTGCACGCACTGGATCTAGTAGGCTATACTAACAATTTTGGTAGCGGCACGTGGAGGCTTACCAAGGGATCATTGTTAGCTGCTAAAGGTACAGTGAGATCGACACTGTATAGAACTCAAGTGAAGCTGATCAAGGGTGGATTGAATGCAGTTGAGGATGATGCTTCGCCAAATTTGTGGCACAAAAGATTGGCTCATATTGGTGAAAAAGGATTACAAATTTTGGCAAGAAAGTCCCTCATCCCATTTGCCAAAGATTCAAAACTTAATCCTTGTGATTATTGTCTCTTTGGGAAGCATCATAGAGTGTCTTTCAGCAAAACTTCGAAGCTGAAAGAGAATGTGTTGGAAATGGTGTATTCTGATGTATGTGGACCCATGGAAGTGGAGAGTCTCGGTGGTAGCAGATATTTCGTGACGTTTATTGATGATGCTTCAAGAAAATTGTGGGTGTATTTCTTGAGAACGAAGGGTGAAGTTTTTCAATACTTCAAAAGGTTTCATGCTATGGTGGAGAGACAAGCTGGTAAACCTTTGAAGTGTCTTCGCTCAGATAATGGGGGGGAGTATACTTCCCATGAATTCAAGAATTATTGTGCCGAGCATGGCATCAGGCATGAGAAGACTGTACCTGGAACCCCACAGCATAATAGTGTGGCTGAAAGAATCAACAGAACCATTATGGAGAAAGTGAGGTGTATGTTAAGAATGGCTAAGCTACCTAAGCCATTCTGGGGTGAAGTTGTTCTAACGGCGTGCTACCTGATCAACCGATCTCCATCTATTCCTTTGGGCTTTGATATCCCTGAGAGAGTATGGTCCGGACATGATGTTAAATACTCTCATTTAAAGGTGTTTGGATGCAAAGCTTTTGCTCACGTAAGCAAGGAACAGAGGCGAAAACTTGATGATAAAGCCATTCCTTGTATATTTCTGGGCTATGGAGATGAGGAATTTGGCTACAGGTTATGGGATCCAGAAAATCGAAAAATTATCAGAAGCAAAGATGTCAGATGTAGTGTTCCATGAGCAAGAAACTATGTCTGATTCTGCTTCACCAGAAACAAGAGAACCAAGTGGTAAGGTGGATCTTTCACCTGTCAAACCTCCTGGAGATGCCACAGCAGGGGGAGAGTGTGATGGAGAACTCAGGGTTGATAGTGAGCCAGCAATAGAAGATGGTGTCGAGCAAGAAGACCTCGAAGCTCCGCCTCAGCTCAGGAGATCAAATCGAGTGATCCAACCATCTACGAGATATCCTAGTTCCACGTATATTACCATCACTGAAGAAGGGGAGCCAGAAAGCTTTGAAGAAGTACAGACTCATAAGGAAAAATCTCAGTGGATGAAAGCCATGCAAGAATAAATGGATTCACTAGTGAAAAATGAAACTTATGAGCTTGTGAAGCTTCAGGAAGGCAGAAAAGTCTTGAAAAACAAATGGGTGTTCAAGCTTAAGAAAGATGGTGACAAGTTGTTGAAGTACAAGGCTCGCTTAGTCGTGAAAGGATTTGGACAAAAGCGAGGAATAGACTTTGATGAGATATTCTCTCCGGTTGTAAAGATGAGCTCTATTCGAGTAGTACTCGGATTGGTGGCTAGCTTGGATCTGGAGCTTGAACAACTAGATGTGAAGACTGCATTTCTTCATTGAGACCTAGATGAAGAAATCTACATGGAGCAACCAGAAGGGTTTGATAAGACTGGAAAGGAGCACATGGTTTGCAGATTGAAGAAGAGCTTGTATGGACTGGAACAAGCTCCTAGACAGTGGTATAAGAAGTTTGACTCGTTCATGGCGAGCCATGGATATACCAAGTCTGATGCAGATCATTGTGTGTTCGTTAAGAAATTTCCAGGTGATAGATTCATTATCCTTTTGTTATATGTAGATGATATGTTAATAGTGGGACATGATATAAAGTTGATTGGTGGTCTGAAGAAGAATTTAGCAAAGTCCTTTGAAATGAAGGATTTGGGCCCTGCGAAACAAATTTTGGGCATGCAGATCATGCGAGACCGAAAATCTAAGAGGTTGTGGTTATCGCAATAACGGTATGCGAATAGGATTCTGGAGAGATTCAACATGAAATCGGCTAAGCCAGTCAATACACCGTTGGCCAAACACTTCAAGCTCAACAAACAAAGTTGTCCTAAGAGTCAAGAAGAAAAAGAAGCTATGGCGGGTGTTCCATACTCCTCAGCAGTCGGGAGTTTGATGTATGTCATGGTCTGTACAAGACCGGATATCGCTCATGCAGTTGGAATTGTTAGCAGGTATCTTTCCAATCATGGAAATGATCATTGGAAAGCTGTGAAGTGGATTTTGAGGTACCTAAAAGGCAGTGCAAATAAGTCCTTGAGCTTCGGCAAAGGAAACCCAATTCTTGAAGGTTATACAGATGCGGATATGGCAGGTGACCTGGATAGTAGAAAATCTACTTCAGGGTTTGTGTTACATTTGCAGGAGGAGCTGTATCTTGGCAATCTAAATTGCAGAAATCTGTTGCCTTATCGACTACTGAAGCAGAGTATATTGCAATGACAGAAGCGGGCAAAGAAATGCTTTGGTTGAAGAGGTTTCTTCAACAATTGGGAATGAAGCAGGAAAGGTACGATATCCATTGCGATAGTCAGAGCGCATTGAATTTGAGTAAGAACGCGATGTACCACTCTCGCACGAAGCACATTGATGTTAGATATCATTGGCTACGTCAAGTAGTGGAAGAACAACAGTTCAAGTTGGAAAAGATTCACACTGACGAAAACCCTGCTGACATGATGACGAAAGTTGTAACAGGAGGAAAGCTTCAGCTTTGTGCCGAGTTGATCGGCATGGAATGCATGTAAAGTTTGCAGTATATGACCATTTGGCTGGAGGGGGAGATTTGTGGGGTCCAGCCACAATAAACAAAAAGAAAAAGTATCAAAAGTTGGCCATCAAAACATGTGCTAACAAACACAACAAAACAAAAGCCAACAATTTTTTATTAAAATCCAGCAAATGAGATGCCAAAGTGAGTTGTAGTTTTTTGGACAAATTACAGAAATCTTTCACTATAAATAGCAGCTCTGAATTGCTGAAGAGACGCACCAAGAAGCAGAAGAAAAAAGAGAGAAGAAATAACATCTTTGAGTGTTATTGTTCAGTGAGATAAAAATATAGTGTTTGAGTAAATCCTGTGGGTGTGGAAAAAATACACCGAGTTGGGTATCAACTCTATTACTCTTTGTTTAGGAGTGGGGTTCTCACTGGGTCACTATATTTTACATTTCTAGTGTAAGGGAGTGTGAAAAGATATTGTAATTATCTTGAAAATATAGTGGAATTGTTCAGAGGTTGTTCCGTGGTTTTTTTCCTCTATTTGGAGGTTTTTCCACGTTAAATCTTGGTGTCTTATTTCTTGCATATTTTATTTATTTGGGACATTCTTTGCATGCTTTGTGGTCGCAGTTTAATCTGAACTTCCACATCAAAAAAGAATTATTCCTATATTATTGCAAGAGATTTTCTTTTGTCATTCTTGAGTTGCTGAGATTGAGATTATTGTTCACCATTTCACGTTAGTATTTTAATTTTCCGCATTGCGCATCTGAGCCCAACAATAAATTGGGCTGGAGATAATATGTGTACTTCACAACAATATTTTCATTTTGTGGTATTATGTCACTTAACTTCATAATTCTCATCATCAGAAATTAAAACCAAACTTACTTTGAACTGTATCACCGTGATTTTCTTGGCTGGATTTTTTCATGCTTCAACACAATGATGGTCAAAACAATTGATCTATAGTTATTACAACCTCAACAGCACGTATGAACGTACGAACAAAAGCCGACTACTTCCAAATTTGATATAAAGATCAAAAGAAAAAATCGTAAAGGGCAAATGAATTTTTTTCTCACTTGAGTGTGACTATGTATATCATCTTCTGGTCCCGAACCATTTTTGCTCGATCATAAGCTCCTACCCGTTTTCACAAACCTTCTTGCGACACCAAATATAACGGCTTTGGTCAAAAGCCCGTGATCGAGAGTGCAAGCGAGTGCAAGGGCCCCACCAAAAACAAGCAACTTTGGAAAACCTCTGCCTCGTGGCTTTTCTGCCGAATCAATCGGGCCCACTTCCGAAAAATCACTACTCGGGCTTGAATCGGGGGAACTAAATTTGGTGTTGATTTGGGCCAAGGAGGCACTTGGAGAGAGTGGGCCTCCCATAGCCCGGTGCTTGTGGTAGGCCCGAAGGCCCGGATCGATCTTCTTGACAGCGCCCCACATGCCCTGGCGGATACCGAGCTTGGCAATCTCTCGAGGGATGCCCATGTCTTCGTGATGGAAGAGTATGACTTCGCATGCAGTCGGTCGACCGTCTCTCTTTGACTCGGCTGAAATTCGAGAACGAGAGAAGAATTATAATTAGTATTTAATTACACTTACGAAGATCTTTTTTTATTTTTCAAAAATCCGAGAAAAAAAAAAAGAAAGAAAAAGAGCAACACAAACTGTTTGTTATAAACGTCAACAGCGTGGTGCATCAAAAGTTGGTCAAAGGGCAACCGAACAAGTAGTTTTTTAGTAGAAAGTGAAATTAGGTTATGTAATCCCCCTATATGAGTCTAGGTGGCAAACTAGCATGTTTCGGGATATGTGGTAAATCTTTATGCTTTGTCGTTTGCCTTGGATATATTTTAATTTAATTAACTTCATTTGACTTTGATAGATTTTAATCTACTTTACTTCTAATCCCAAAATAAGTAGGCTTGGAATAGCCATAAATATATTGGATCCTTTAAAAAGAATTAATTCTGTTTTAATATAATCTCATAAGGCATGATATTTTTTTTCGATCTTTCTCTTTCCCTCCGTCTTTTTTTTAAATAAAATTATAAACTAACTTAAATAAGAAAAATATATTTTTAAAGTTAATAATTTTTGTGTTTATTATAATTTTATTTTATACATAATATATCAAATTAATCATCAAGAAGCTTCGATTTGACATCTATAAGGTACATACAAAATAAGTACGTGATTATATTTACCATTATTAATATTATCTGGAAAAAAAATAAAATTATTTCAATTAATTTAACAAAATAATAGTTATATGATATAAGTTTAAAAAATATTATCGTCATATAAGAGACGGGTATCATTTTATACATAAATAATAATATATTTTTTAAAATCAATTTTGTATTTAGTTTTTAATTTCAAGTATAATTTTTTTAAGAAGCACCTCCGAATTAAACGGGCATTCTACTAGTCTTTCACTTAATCCTTGTCATTTGATTTGCACCTATGAGTTATTGGATGAAATGAAAATAACCTGTGCGAATGAACCAACTTGAGTAGTACAAATCAACGCGTCTTGGTTTGTTACGACGTGGCACAGAGGAGTTCGGCACACCCTATTACAGTATTTCAGTAGAAAATAAATGTCATCAATAAGAATATTGATTGATGTACACAGTTGAAAAGAGAAAACAAAGTTAAGTATTCTCATTTTTTTCTGACTAATTGTATTAGCAAGCTTAGGACAACAATTGGTTTGACAAAATGGAAGTGAAGCAAATGTTGCTCTTAACATTTCAATCTCAATATCAGATGCACAAAAAAACAAAACATAAACTGAGAGCAATGTTATATTGATAAACAATTCTCGGGTACAAAAACGTAAAACAAGACTTTCCGCGTGTCGTCTAGTTCATTTCTACATCAAACAAGACTCAGAATTGTCGAATTTCCCTAACTTTGAGAGATAAACCAGCATCATTACTAATCCAAGAATAATATTTTCACAGCCCTTACTTACAACAATTACATAACCATCGTTACTACAGTATTTTTTATATTACCACACAATATAATAAAAATGCTCACGCATTCATTTTCATCTTGCACTTCAAACTTGAACCCAGAGAACTAGCAGCCAAAAAAAAAAAAAAAAAAAAAACAAATGTGAAGTTGTGAACAATGTCCTCTTACCTTTGTTACACAATAATACGTTCGTCCCGAGTCCCAAATCCTTCGGCCTATTATGTACTCTCTGTCACTACAAAAGAATGGGAACTGCACAAAAATAAACGAACACATCCGATAAACATAAAGCCATCACAATTCATCATACCGAAAAAAAAAACCCAAGAGAATGGTAAAACTAAAAATAAAAAATAAAATCAAATCTCTCCCCACCTTTCTCACCCATTGAACCATCATTGTTCCACTCGTGTGGCACTCCTTCAAAGTCTCGGCATGTATCAGCATATCATCCCATTTTAATCTAAATTCATCGTCCCAAAAGAAATCCCTCACCATTTCAGGTGTGGTATCTTCGTACACAGTTCGACTCCTATACTGAGGAGGTCCAATCTACAAGAATCCCAAGGAAAAAAATTACCCCCAAAACTCATTTCAGCATCATAATCATCAAGAAAAAATGCTAACAAAACTGTGAATCAAAACAAAAAGAGTATATAAACTATTGCCGCGCAAAATGGAAATACTTTATTGACCTAAAACGAAAAAATCTACCTCAGGATCCCTTCTCCAAGCCTGGTAGCTCATATTGTGTGTGGACCTCTCCATCATCTTTATCCAAGAAGGGCCTCCGTCTTTTTCTTCGACTAATCTATGCAAATGCCTCAAATCATCTTCATTCACAAGGCTCGATTCTTCGTTTTTCGCCTCGGACAAGCTGAGGTTGAAGATAAATTCAAACTAATTCAGCACAAAAACAGCTTCAACACTTCACAACAAACAAAAAATCTAAAAGTAATGATGAAAACCTTATATCAGAAACTGAAGGCAAGGGTGAATTATCCTTTTCAAGCCCATCATCTGAAATCCACGAAAAGCTCCATGCTGGCAATTGAAGCTTGGACAAGCTCAAGCTCGGGACTAAAGCAGATAACTGTGGGAAAGTGTAAATTCTTAATTTCTTCGACATTACTTTATTCGAAGTATAATCCAGAAAATCCGAATTCAGATTATCAGCCCATTTGGGCCTCCACGCCCAACCCAACAAAACGCCGACAACAACCGCCGCCCAAATTGGCGCCGTGAACTCAAGCAGCTCATAAATCACATCTCCAATTCTGGGCCTTCGCAAAATCTCAAGAAAAGCGGCAAACAGAGCCATTATTACACAAAATCAAAAGGTGAAACAAATCCCAGGTTAAAAAAAAAAAATAAAAAAAAAATCGATTTTTCGAACAAAAATGAAGAAAAGAAGAGAAACCCTCGACTCAATCGGATCAAAGATTCAACCTTTAAGACGCGTCGACGACCCGAGGGTTGAAAGAAAATGGGAAAAAAAAAAAGATAAACCCTTCAACTACCAAATATAGAAGGAGATTAGAAAAAAAAAAAAAACAAAGGGAAGAAGAACAAGAATATTGTGTTCGATTAGACAGATACACAATTATATGCACAAACCAAGTGGGAATAAAGAAAGGGGAACAAATTGCAGAAGAGTAAAGGATGAAGAACCCAATATATTATAATATACACTAAGTAAAATAAAATAAGAAGAGATCAAAACAGGGGTGCCAGTTGAAGAATATATCTACTAAAAAAATGGAGATGAGCTAGAAGAAGATGATAAGGAAGGTTAGAGATAAGAGGCAATTTGTACGCATTGGTCGGATTGCCGTAAGCCCACAGATCTTTTATATTTTTTTTTTGTACAGTGACATTCCGGTTTTCGGATTCACAAGAGAACCGACTAATCCGGAATCGAATCGGGTAGAACCACAGATGTTTTATATTACACACAAACTTGTTCTCCACCTCACTTCATTTTTTTTTTTTTTTTTCTCAAATGCCACAAACAAAATCTGAAGCTGAGAAAATGCAGGATTATCAGTTTTGTGTACAGTGAAGTTGAAATTGCCACAAGATAATAAAAAAGTTTGGGGCTTTTTGCTGGGTTGATTTAGGGTTTAGGGCATATATGTATATATATATAGATTCTGGTGTGTGGTGCAGCTGGGGATAGGGAGACTCCAACCTGGCTTTAATTTTTTTTTTTTTTTTTTAATATTAAGCAGTAAAACATATTCTAGTCATATTACATTGACTTAATACATGATAAATTTCGGATGGACACATATTAATATGCCCACCGTTTATGTGGCACGCATACATAAGCGGTGGACATATTACACATACATAAATTCGTGATGTATCTTTTTTAACGTATTAACATCACCAATGTGTGCATGCCACATAAGCGGTGGACATATTAACATGTGTCCACCGTGGATAAGGGAACATTTCCTTATTAAATTTATTTAGCCCAAACAAAATTAAATTTATTTTAGAGTAAACCAACAAATTATATCAACATGATTTAAATATTTGTATTTTTCTTGTGGTCATAGCTTAATTTATCATTTTTTCTTCTTCATTTTTTCACATTTTAATGTTTATTTTATTCAATATAATTGATTTTGGGCAATTTTATTTGAGAAAACAATTAATTCATATCGTTTACAAATGTAACTGACATATCGTATTAAGAAAAGCATTTTCATTCTTTAATTTTTTAAACATAGCAGTAGTGATGTAACTCAAGCCGTGTTGACATGAATACGTCATGTTCAAACTCGTGCTCTTAATAAACAAGCGTGTTTCGCTTGGATCATTTAATAAATCGAGCTCAGCCAAATTCGGCCCGGCTAGTTTAAATCAATTTTTATATTATGTTTTACTATATGAACTTATTGAGTTTGAGTTTTTACGAGACGAACTGAGTTGTGCTTGCTAACAATTTTGCTCGAATATACAGTAACCCATAAAATATTTGCGTCAATATTCTTTGTGTCATATATTGTTCGAATATACATAGTTTTGTTAAGTTGTAGATAGCTTGACTCACATAACTAGTTTTTAAATATATAATATTTATAGATTCAATTATTTGCGTCAATTTATTTTTTATATACTTTAATAGTATTTTTTTAGTTAGGATATAATTTTTATAAATGATAATAAAACTTTCAGTTGATCCCTTTTTGTTGGTATTTACCCTTATGTTATACAATTTTCTTTTATGTATTTTGATTAATTGAAAGTGGTGATTCCTCACTTTTAAAATATTTATAATTATTTATTTGACTAAATACTAATTTCATAAAATATTTATAATTAAACATGATTAATTATAAATAATAATAATAATATAGTATAAAATATATTTTATAGCCTTTTCTTTTTTAATATAGCGAGAGACGAAAATTAAATTATAATCCTATTGTTTTCTACACTTAACACTCATTAAAAGAGAGGTGAAAAATAGATAATAATAATGTTATTACTTTTTAGACTTAAACGAACCGGGTAAGTGAAAATAACTCATTTAATATTTCTGTCTCGTGAATCGCACGGAGTACGTACTAGTTTGAAAATATGAATCATATGGAAAAAATAATTGTATACCTTTATGCCATTTTAGAATAAATATATCTTTGGAATGAGAGTACTATGGGTATATTTGGTAAGTCAAATAAGCTAGCTTATAACTTATTTGGTTAGATTATAAGCTCCCTGTATTAAAATAAGCCTCGTTTGGTAGGACGGGCTTTTTAAAAAAGCTCGAGCTTATCCCATAAGCTACTTTAGGTAACTTTTCAAATAAGCTAGTTGAATTTTATATTTCAGCTAGCTTATCAGCTAATTTACCAAACACTTTTATCATATAAGCTATAAGCTAGCTTATCAGCTATCAGCTAGCTTATCAACTAGTTTTACCAAACATAGCCTATTATTGAGCAAATCGAGCAGTTAGACCTCTATCTCTATAGTTTTTCAATAAATTTAAATATTTTTTTTACTCAAATCATCTAACTTTTGAAAATAAATTAAATGAAAATATGACATTTTTCAAATATTATGAGAAGGGTTTTTATGTCGTGTGATAGACCGTGTGCTCGTTTTTAACGTGTTTTTTGGTGACTTCAAAATTCAAATTTGGTTTTTGCCTTAAATCCAAATTCTTTGCAGCAATGACATAAAAACATGGAAAATGTGGTCTGTGAATGAACCGCGTTTTAGTTTTATTTAAAATGATTTATACCTATTTTGGAATCAATTCAAAGCCTAATTTAAATGTAAAAATTTAATTAAATAATTAATTTATATTTTTTACTAAATTAATAATTGATTTGTCGTAAATTGGCTGTTTAAAAATTTCATTTTAAAAATTAACCTATAAATGAACTTCTACAAAAGAAATACTCATAAACAAGCACTTAAATTTTTCACACTTTTTCATACAATTATGCATTTCAGTATTTTGATTTAATAATTTTACATCTATTCGGTAAACTATTTTTTGTCTTCGGTAATATTTTCATACAATTATGTATTTCATACAATTTCTTGTCCACAATTATTGTATCACTTGCCGTTTAGTCTTTTTAATAAAAAAAAAAAAAAAAAAAAAAGACTCAATATGGAAGTCCTAATAATGGGGCATATTTTAAGGGATAGATTATCCTTTGTAAGGCTAATTTATTTCGAAATAATCACAGATTGAGGTATTGTATGGTGACATTAAATTTTATATAATGTAATATAAAATAACTAGAACGTTGGATTTAGACATGCCCACGGGCAGACCCGGCCCGAAACCGTTATCTAAGGGCCGGTTCGGTAAACCGGATCCTTAGAGTCGCGGTTTGGTCCCGATTCTATTTTTTTATTTTGGTCCCATCGGCTCGGGCCGGGTTGGACCGCGGGTCGGACGGCAGGCCGCATTATTAATATTTTTTTTTTAAATCGGCCCGTGACCTGCCGGGTCGGTGAACCAACCCTTGGTTCTTAACGGGCCAGCAAAAAATAATACGAAAAATAAAAAATAATACAAAAAAATATAAAATAAACAGACGATTTTATTTGATTTGTTTTTTTAACTATAGTTAACTTTAAAAAAAGTGGTATGATTAGTTGTTAGTGGATGTATTAAAATAATATTTAAATTAAAATAACTAAAGTTGATTTGATGTAAAAGTATGAGAAAATGATTAAAAGTGATGGTCAATTAAAATTATGTGAGTGGATGAATAGTCAATTAAAGTTGATGTGATGTGTAAAAATGATTGGTTGATATTATTTAATTATTTTTTTTTTTGATCGTTAAATAAAATTTAATAGATCAAAATTTGTTTTTACATCGACCGATTTTGGCACACAGAAGCGAAGTGGGCAACCACAGCTCGGTCCCTCACTCGCTAATCAAAATGATGAGAGGCGAACCACAAGTCGGTTGCTCATCTCAATCAAAAGTGCAATAATCAATATGTCCTAAATCTCACATGGGTTGGTGATGGAATGAGGAGGTTACGTCGAGCCACTGCCAAGAGCTTTTCTCTCAATGTCGGCAAGAACATTCGGGTATAGTGCGAATATACTCCTATAAACATGAGTTTGGATTTTCCGGATGATGAGTTCGGGGATTGTACCTCATTTTCAAAAATCTTCCTATTTCGAGCGTTCCATAGGAAGTAGATCGTTGCGGCGAGCCCGGCCTTAGTTGCTTTTGTTCTCCAACGGGAGCCTTGGGATTCCTTCTTGATCCACTTCAAAGCACTCTTTAATGTGGAGAGTTGCCGTCTTAATCCAAGCCAATGCCGGATGCCAAGCCATACTTGTGCCGAAAGGGGGCAAGTGAAAAGAGATGTTCTTTGGTCTCGGAAGCTTCCCCACAAAAGGCACAAGTAAGGTCAATATCAAGGAAACCAAGCCTATCCTTGGTTCGGAGCCTCCCGAGTGTTGCAAGCCAAAGGATGAATGAATGCTTGGGGGTATTGGCGGGTCCCCAAACCACTCCCTTCCAAGGGACGGGCGTGCCTTTGGCTCGGAAGAAATCATATACGCCTAAGGGCCCTTTTGATTGAGATTTGGAGTCCCAAAGGCTAAGTGTGGCCTCGACGGATTGCGTGCTACCCAACTTTTCTACCATTAGGTTCCGGATATCATATAGGTTCTTGAAGAGGCGCGAATCATTCTTCTTGTAGATAGTCCATTCCCAAATATTCTTTTGTCTTAGGTAGACATTGTGTACCCACCGGTACCATAGTGTGTCCTTCTTCGCTTGAATATTCCAAAGAGTTCGTGCCAACAAAGATTGGTTCCATG